AGCTTCCCGGGAAAGCGGGGAGCGGGGTGGGCAGCGAAGCCGCGCGTTGGGGACGGGCGAGGGGGGTGGTTGTCGTGGGGGTCGTTGTGTTTCGTTGTTTCGGTTTTTGCCTTGCACAAAGCGTTCCCGGCCGCAGGTTCTGGTTGTCGTAGTAAAAATAGAGCAGGACAAATGATTGCCAGAAGAGCATAGATTGAGGAGGGAAAAAAGACAAAACAACACCAACAACAAGAAAAGGAATCTGGCCCTTTCTTTTTTTCCCTCAATTCCGTTGTCTTCCCCGCGGGGCTTGGCCTTCCGTGGCTCCCGGGGCGGGAAGGCCGCGCTGCAGCTCGCTCCTGTGTTGCTGAGCTCTGGGTTGCACTGGGTCCCGCTCCCGGGGTGGCCGCCCGCCCGGGGGCCGCGTTCGGGCCGTGCCGGGTCGGTACCGCGGCGGCTCCCGGCCCTTCCTTCCGCACCTTGGGGCGGCGCAGGAGGAGCGCCCGGCCGGGAGCCTTCCCTGGGAGCGCTTTGTGGCGGATTTCAGCGATGTTGCCTGTAAAGGTCGGGGCTTGTGGCACAGCTCTTGGTTTTAAAACCAACAGGGGGGTTTCTAGCTGCCCTGCTCCTTGCAGATTCGGGGTGACCGTCTTGGCTTACCAGCGCCGTCCAAAGCGGAGGTGTCATTTAGCACATCTGGGTGTCACGCTGAGCCCTCTGTCCTCCTGGTATTCACGTATTGCTCAGGTTTGGTTGTTGTCATCCGAGTGTGCGGGTTTAAACCCTGCGACTTGGGGCTTTGGGCACTGTTGGTGAAGCCGAAAGGCCAACGGTTCCGCAGCGGAGCCAGATACCTGTTGAATATGTGGCATTTGTCCAAATAGTCTGTACGCTTTTAATCAGCTTTGAACATGCATTATTATTCTTGAAGTGCTTTTTATGTCATGCTTTTTCCACTGGGAAATACTTTGTTGTACTTTTTTCCATTGGAAAAATAAGAAAAAAAATTATTTTTGCTTATTATTTAAAAGCTGAGCAGAATCTGTTTCAGGAATAAATAAAATAAATAATGGCTTTACTATTTGTAGCTGCTGACCTTACCCTTCAGGTGTTGAGAAATATCAGATCTCATTTTCTCTTCTGATTCATAGATCCCAAACTTGCCAGTTCCTGGTCGGCTTCTCCTTGCTCAGCCAAAATGGGGAAAACGGTCCCTGTTGTAGCAGAGGTGGCTCTGTTTGGTCGAGCCCAGGCTTGTATGTAGAGGCAGGAGCTCTTTTAGGCCTCCTCGTGTAGTTGAAAAGATTGGGTAAGTTTTGGGGCAGGCTCACAGGCTCCTCTTCATTTTTGAAGCAAGAGCAACAGGCTTCAAACCTGCCTTTAAAAAAATAAACTGTTATCATTTAATCAAGATGCAGTTGGAGGCTGCTTTGGCATTTCTTTCTTCAATTCAGTGGTTTGACTTTTCTTCAAACCACAGACAGTGAGTGTGATCCCAAAAGCGTGTGCTGAGAAACACTGCACATCCCAGAACCCTTTTTTTCATCATCTTAATAATGGATGGGCTTTTTTTATTTGTTTTGCTCTGTTTTTTTTTTCCATCTGTGATGATTTCAATGCTCTGTATCTGAATAGTGGGGAAAAAATGGATTAGCTCTTCCCAGCTACACTTCTCAAGGCTCAGTGAAATTTGCGTTAATTAACTTGATAAGAGACAAAATTTCCTGGAGGTTTCTACTTGAAAATAAGAGGCTACATGTCCACTGATCCTGGACTGTTGTCCTAAGATTTCCAATCATATCATAATTAATTCTTTATTTTAGGACCTTTTATACTAGTCACTTTTATAATGCATTTTGTAACTGTGGCTGTCACTTGCACAAAAACTTCTCTTATTCATGCAAATCTTGCCTGAAATATCTGCTTTCTTGCTTTGTTTCATCACGAATTTCTGGTAGTTTGTGTCATGAGCAAATCCCAAAACGTAGCAGGTTTTGATCGGAGACTAATGCACGGGAGGAGCTGATCAAAGTAAAGTTTGACGGGGACACAGGGATTATAAACATGAGTGCCCTTCACTATCAGACAAGCTAAGACTAGTCATGCATTGAGTTTACAGCATAATGATTCCAGGGGTTTGGAAACTCTTAAGAAAAGAAGCTGATTTTGTCAGTTGTATTTTGTGATCAGAAAGTGATTAATAGTGCTGAAACAGGGGTCCTTCTAGCCAGCTGCAGTTGATTGTTTGTATTCAGGAAAGCTGGATTTTGGAGTCGGGAGGGAACGTTTCCTGGATGAGCTTTCTCTATTAAAAGCCCTAGCTCCTGTTTTCTGTGCTCAATAATCCTGTTCCAAAATGCCAAGGTGAGCAGATACTACAGCTGCACAGCAGTCGCTTTATACGAGCACTTCTGTTGTTAAGTGAACAGATGTATTTATGTGTGACTTTCCTAGGTGAGGCAAAACCTCCAAACAGACTTTCTTTGTGCTGGTGTCTTACAGATCAGGTCTGCTGAGTTGGGGTTTTTTGAAGGGATTTAGTAATTACTTTTTTAATCTCTTTTCTCCTCCCCCTGCTCCTTCTTGACCAGGAAACCTCCATTTTAGAGGAGTACAACATTAACTGGACTCAGAAGCTGGGAGCTGGGATCAGTGGTCCTGTTAGGTAAGAGAACACACTGCGGATTTGTCTAATCTCAGCCTGTTTGGTTACCTGGGGAGATGCGAGTATGTTTAAGCGTGCTGATAACAGAAGGATGCGATATCTTGAAAACCCTTTTTATTAAAAATAAATAAAGAAATGTCTCCATACTCTGTGTGCTTGGTAGCTGATGTGCAAGGACGGTATTGCCTTCTCCTGGGCGTGCTTGAAATAAAAATTCTCCTCTCTGCTCTATCCCGTCTCGCTGTTGTATTCCCAAGCAAAGCAGCAACGGGAATGGGCTGGGAAAAGATGGCAGCAGGGAAGGCTGCTCGAGCACCTTTGTCCTTTTGATGCTGCAGGCGGCCCGGAGCAAAGGTCGCTGCTCCCATCTCCGGTGTCCTCGCCCGGGCGTCAGCCCTGGGTGCCATTTAGCTATTTTTACCGGCTATTTTTTTTCAGATCATCATGTGAGGCCAAAGCAGATAGTGCCACGAGCACCGCGTCTGATGCCAGACCTGCTTGTCACCAATTCCTGCCCGTTGCAGGAACCGGGCGCTTTCTGCAGAGCAAAGCGTGGGCTCCCCTTCCAGGGACCATCTCCCTTCTGGGAGCAGGAGCCTGTGCACGAGCTCTGCAAAGCTGCAGCCGGTGCCCCTCTGCTCTTGGCAGGGTCAGGGTCTCTCGCCACCATTTATCTTCCTGTCCAGGCACTTGGTTTCTCCACATCCATTTTCCGCTGCCGTGTTGTCCCGATCTCTATGAAAACGTCCCTTTGTTCTTGTCTCTCCTGCTGCCCGTTACTAGGTGGGCCCGTCCCTGTGACGCAGCTCAATTGTTAGTGTTAAATGGGGGAAAGAGAGAAGAAAACGCGCGCGGCCGCGGCCTCGTCAGCCCGAGGGTTTCCATTAGGCAGCGCTTTGTGCGTTGCACGCCGGGCTCTGATCTCCAGCGGAGATGTCCAGGCTCCCACTGAGCGATTCGGGCTTTTTCTTCACAAGTGTCTCCTAAATCGAACGTGTGCAGCAGTTACCCCGTGCCCTGAGGTGCTCTTGCTGCGTGGCTGGACATGTAGTCTTGTGTGAGGGTTTCTGTGTGTATTTGTTGTAGAAGACGGTGACGCTCGAGTTTTGCGGGGCTGGGTGTCGTGCCGGGGCGCTCCCGCGGAACGGGAAGGCGAGTGCCTGATGTCTCTGTAACAT